AAAGTCACTTTGAACTGCAAGGTTGGCAGTTCAAGTTCACCAGCTGCTCCTTGGAAACTCTTATACAGAGTCGCTATGGGTCAGAACCGACTCCACAGCACCTAACAACACCAACAACATAAAGTTACTATGAATCTGAACCGTGGAATACAGATGTGGCGGTATGGGTCTGTGATGAGGACTGCCTAGGACATCTTACCCGCAAGTTCTTCTCTGTCACGTGGGGTGGCAACGACTCAGTGGCTGGCGACACCAATTTCTCCATTAATAGTGCCATAACAAAGTACCACAAACTGGGTGGCTAACACCAACAGCACTGCTTACCCTCACAGTTCCCAGGAGGTTGTTGTCACTGTTATTAGGTGCCTGTCTAGTCGTCTCCCATAGCAATCCTATGCGCAAGAGAAAAAACACTTCCGGGTTGTGCGCGGTCCTCACAATTGTTACGCTTGAAGCCCACTGCTGCTGCCACTGTGTCAGTCCATCTCATTGCTGACCCTCCGCTTTACCAAGCACGATGTCCTTCTCCAGGGACTGGTCCCTCCTGATAACATGTCCAAAGCATGAGAGACCAAGTCTCGCCACCCACTCTTCAAAGGAGCACTCTGGCTGTACTTCTTGTAACACATACTTGGCTTTTTCAGCAGTCCATGGTATTTTCAGTATCCTTCTGAAACACTACAATTCAAATGCATTGATTCTTCTCCAATCTTCCTTATTCCTTGTTCAACTTTCACACGCATCTGAAGCAACTAAAAATATCATGGTTTAGTTCAGACTTGCCTTAGTCCTCAAACTGACAACTTCGCTCTCACTTTAAAGAGGTCTTGTGCAGTAGATTTGCCCTGGAGCTGACTTGTTTTGGGGGCTAGAAGTTCCAAATCAAGGAGCCAGCAGAGCCAAGCTCTGGAGAAGGTTCCAGGGAAGGCTCTTTTCCACGCAGGTTTCCCAGCCATTAGAGCTGACCAGAATCCCCTGATGTTCCTGGGCTCACAGATACCTCATTCTTATCTTTGCTTCTATCTGCCCAGTGGCTCTGAACCCAAATCTCCCTGTCTTTTCTCTCATGAAGATGCCGGTCATTCGGTTTACACGCAATGACCTCGCCTTCTTGGATTCGGTCTGCAGCGAGACTATTTCCACAGGATAATACCTATATAGGTGCTACAGGATCAGATATGGGAACACATCTTTCCTTGGGTAACACTGTTCAAGTCCTACACACATCTTTGCCGTCTCTTGTATTCTCGTGGATAACAGAACATCTGTGTTCTGGAAATCTTCACAGGACCTGCTATCACCCCACAACAGACCGGGGATGAGGAAGGGCTCCGCACGTCCTTCTCTGTGTGTCTGTGTCACGAGCGCAGAGAGGACGTCACGTATGCAGCTAAGCGTACCCCACCTCTTTCCCATCCTGAGCCCTTTGGTATTCCTCTGGATCATCTATCTCTTGTCTTCGTCCCCCACTATTCTTTTTTACTTTGAAACCACACCATTAAAAACATCTTGTGTCTCTCCCAAAAGATTCTTTTGAATTACTGTCCAAACCACGTAGTTTTCGATGGCTGGTTCTCTTCAGAAACACGTCACCAGGCCTTTTGTCAAAGACACCTCCGGTGGACTCAAACTACCAACCTTTACGTCAGTAACCGAGTATTTAACCTGTGTATGCAGGTGCTTAAAGAAGCCCAAAGAACTAAAGAGGTGGAACAGGATTTATTGCTACACTAAGATCACTTCTTCATTAGGTCATATTGTTAAAGGTCTTGTACTCCCAGTGTCCTATTGGGAGTTTTGGTGCTACACTGTAAGACAAGCATTGGACTGCAAACCCTAAAGCTGGTGGTTTAATCCACGAGCCACTCTGTGAAAACTCTATCCAGGGTGGATATGGGTTGGAACCAGCTCAAGGGCACTCACCACCAACAAAGGTCCGATTGGATACCATACTACAATGCACTGGGCCATAGAAATGAGGACTCCCACGCACACAGCACAACGTAAGCAAAAGGACTTGAGTCGCCCTCACAGTTGCTCTGGGTCTGTGCTCACCTTCCTACATGGAACTGTTTTATTTGTCACACACCGACCCTTTCGGAGATGGGCACCATAAAGCCACCACCTCAATGGGGCTCCTACTGCCTGGCTATATGGAAAGCAATTTGAATTCTTTTCTAATTTCCCTCCTTTTCTGTCTTCCTCTCTCTTTGTATCGGCAAAGAGTATGGCAGGGAAAGTCAGAACAGTGGGTGCCCATTGTAATGAGAAGGCTAATCGTTTTCGGGGTGCTGTTACCCACACACACTCGAATCACAAATCACAAACTCGGGGGTTGTTATGCACCCAGGCGGCATGACACACCGTGGAGAAGGCTGCATGCAAATGATGCTTAAACAACTCAGCTGACATTAGAACTTGGCTTGGCACGGGAATTGTGTGTTGTTCTCCAACATAAGGCAGACAGGCAACCAGAAGCAAAGCGCACTTTCTGTGCGTGAGGCCTGAATGGACCATGGTCCACTTTGTTCCTTGGGGCATGTAGTGGGGGACAAGACCTATGGCAGGGGGCCTCTGAATGAATGCTATATCACATGGTGGCCAGGCAGAACCAAGTCTTGGCATAAAGGAAATCAACATTCTCCATAAATCACACTAATGTCTATAGTAGGCAATGTTGTTATTGTTGTTAAGTGCCATGAAGTCGGGTCCGACCCATAGCGACC